GTTGGTAGTGTCCTGTCCCACAACTACCCATGTTTGAATTGGCCACAAAATATGTAAGCTATGATATGTATCCGCTGAGAAATATATTCAGTGTCATTCTCCATTGATAAAACCTACAGATCCTCAGCTCGCTCTCTTACCTTGATCTCAAATTCTGCCCTAAGCAATGATCATATGAGTTTTCTTAAATTTATCCTCTTCACGCTGACCCACTAGTTTTCTGGGACTCCCAGCCCTCCTACCCCTTCAAATTCCTCAGATCCTGTCTTTTTTATTCTATCATAATTGTCTGTACTTCTATATCCCATTGAAAGGTTATAAACCTTTACTGAAGTCTCTTCTTCTGGTCCCAAATTAGGGAAAACATCTTAAATTGTTCCCCATGGGAAGCCCAAAGCTGACCTCAGTAAAGACAAAGTGGAGAAAATGAGTCTGCAGAAGTTTGGCTGCCTGTTTTTTCAAACCCATCAATACTCACAAATTGCTTTGTATCACACTAATCCCACAGAATTAACGGGATTGTTCCTCATTTACAGGACCAGCCAAGTGACCTCTGCCATCCTCAGTCAGAGCAACTGCTCCTCCCCTCTTCACCACCAACCCACACCCACAGGACATAAAAACTTCTGTATGCATGCACTGTGTGAGTAAGCGGAGAGAACCGTGCTGACCAAAACACTTCCTTCCCCCCAAGAGAACAGGCATATCCCCCTTACTCAGTCCAGCATGCACTTCCCCACTGTGTACACCTGCTATACATAACCACAAAGCTTCAGACACAGATCTCTTGGCTTCTTGTTCATTTTTCACAATGTCTAACTCAGTGATAATTTTGCTTGCCAGCCAGAAGGGAACAGACCAATTAGTGAAAGCGTGGCTTTTCAGATTTCAAAGATGTTCTCGAGTTTAAATAAGTATTAGTCTCTACATTTCTAAATTGAGCAGAATCTTTTTTTCATTGAAAATTTTAAATGGAGGAGTTCTGCTGCCAGCCTCGGTATTTTAAGGCTCTCAGGAGTCAAAGTATTTAAGCAATCCCTAATTTTAAATCACAGTTACAAAAAATATTTACTGAAGTACTGTGTTTCAGGGTTAATCTCATGAAATTCACAGACTTAGAGGTAAATATATATTTTTCACATCTCTATGCTGTTTTCTCAGTTCTATTTTGATCATTCTGGTAGCCTGCCCAGTTAGCAACTAGACAACAGAAGCTGATAAATCAGAAATTGCAATCACTGCTCAATGAGGAAAGCTTTAATGGAAGTCTGAATTTGAGCAGGAAGAATGGTTTTCTTTTTCCTTTTGACTGCAGCAGCAGTATTCATTCTTAGCAGTAAAATGCCAGCCATGTTTCAAAAAGTCACACGCCGCATTGCAGTATGTAAAAAAAGCTCTCTGTCAAACATGCTTAGGCCCAAAATTGGACAGAGATTAAAAATAAAACCCATCACTTCAGTGGTGGGAATTTAAAACACCCCTGGGGATACAATCTTTGCAGGAGGCATATAGAAAAGATCTGTAAACTCAGCTTCCATTAGTATCTCTGAAGCATCAGTCAGCAAACCTCAACTGTCCCCTCTAGGTAGGGTAAAGGAATTGGTAAATGTGCGGAAGTAAATTATGTGTTTCTGATAATATTTTATAAAAAAGAAGGCAGAGTAGAGAAGGAGTTCTAACAAAATCCATGATATTAAGAAACAGGTTCTGTTTTCTCCCTGAAATGCTTTCTGGAAATGAGGCTCGAGGGTCTCCTTTCTTCTCAAAGAGCCAGCTGAGGTTGGATTTCTACCTACATTATCCCAGGAAAGGGCCTCGTTCTCAAGAGATTGACAAGTAATTGCTCCAGTGGAGGAGAACTGCAAATCCCTCACCCCTGTTTGTCCTCCCTCAGAGCAACCCAGCCTCTAGAACTTGTTGAAAACTGGTCAACCAGTCTCAGAGCTTGTAGTATAACCTGATCCCAGGAGATGTCTGGCCTTTCACAGTGCAAAACACCAAAAATACTTTGGTCACTGTGTAATCATGTTTTAAGAAGGCTGAGGATGAGAAGGAAAAGTCCTTCCTACATAGCAGCAACCTCTGACAGAGGGATTGAGTAGACAGTAGAAGACGACAAACTCTTGAGCCACCAAGGTGGAGTGTAACAAGGACTGTAAACCAGAGAATGTGCATGATCCAAAAGGGAAGCTGGGGTTTCTTGATTCAGAAATACACTCCTAGACTTAGAGACTCAAACTGTTAGTTTGGGAACAGACAACAGCATCATCTTTTATTTTACATGCCTGGAGAGAGTACTGCTCTCAGGAGGTGGAGGTAGGTAGCACTTTCCTCTTTTAAAAACCACAAGTCACTGTCTTGGTGTAAATCCCCAGCATAGGGGTTCTTGGTGTTCTTGACCCTCGAGTGGGCATCTCAAGTGTGATCTCCACTGAGGTGATAAAGCCCCAGAAGACCCACCTCTGTGCTTAGTTTTATCCTAGACAGATCCATGCCCAGTGCATTGACCTCTGGAGCACCACCATATCTCCATGTGCTTCTGTGTCTATTTTTTGAGTCTAGACCCTTTGTACCTCACCTATCATTTTGCTGACAAGATAAGAATATTTTTATTCTGTGCCTTGTTTATTTAAATGTCAAACCTTTAAATCAGAAGCATCCCTCACTGTGTGCATAAATCTGATAGAGAGTCAAGGGGCATGAAAGAATGGGAGCTCTAAGCACAGTAAAAATGGCAATAAAAATATACATCCTGTGTACAAATGCATTCTTAATTGCTATTGTTAGAATACAATCTTCTATTAACTTTTTCTCCATTGTTATAGACTATCTATAATATAAAAATCTCTTGACTGTTTAAATGATGTGGCTAGGAAGATTTCTCCCACTGAGAATGGAGACAATTTAGAGTATGGAACAGAATGCGATAAGATGAATATTCAGAAACTCATGGAGTTAACTTTCTGCATACACAGATTAAATCATAAAAAAATGCCACTGCCTGCAGTATCAACGCCTAGTCATAACTGCACTATTTATAATGGGATATTAAGCTTTAGTTATGTTACTGTCTTAGGCTACATAAACCACCAGCAAAGGAGAGAATAAATAAGGTTCTTACAGATTGCTTAGTTGTAGCAAACAGGAGGCTGCACTACTCACAATTTTGCTTGGTTCAGAGGTGGTGGGATGGGTTGGGGGGGAAACAGGACCCCAATTGGCATTAGTCATTATGGTCACAGTAGGCCATTAATCAGTGTGGGAATCAGTGGGGTAAATCCTCAGCCTTGACAAACTCTCAGACCTCTACTGAAATGGGTAGGTCACACAGTGTGAACTGTTCTAACCCCACTGAAGCAAACTGCTTGTTACCACCTGGGGATTTGGGTCCTGTTGTTAGAACTCGGAAGGATAGATACAGGCCACGTTCTTGTTCACAGGGGCTAAAGCATGCCAGAGTTTGTGCTGCTAGGGGTTATCTGCTTCCCTGGAGAGAAAGAAATGCATGTGAGCTTGAGCAGGTGAGATGGATATGCAACCTTACAGTGTTGATCCAGAAGCTGACTCTTCCCAAAGTCAAGGGCAGTTCTGGCAATAACACCCACCTTGAGTGTACTGTTTAACAGATGAACTGTAAAATAGCACGTCCATTTTACATGTCTTGTAGTAATGCTTCCTAGTCCACAGTGATATACTGGAGAGAGGAACCAGTACTATCATCTGCAAGCTGCTTAAAGACCTGACACTCGCAAGCTCCATCCATATAAACACAGCCAAGGAAGGACAGCTGCTTGCCAGTGAGTCTTATGGTCACCCCACATGAGCAGGGTGGGATCTGTGGACTACCAGAGGTAAGAATTCAGTAATTTGACTTACAGCCATGATGCCAGTTAGCAAAATCTCACTTGCTTCATTAGAGGAATTGCAAGCAATTGGTTTGTTTTCCATTGCTATGAATAGTCTCATCATGGCTTTTATGGCTTTCAGAAACTGTAGTTCTGCCTTACTCATGTTTCCCACTGCAGAAATTGAGAATCTTGTTACCCAACATACAGATGTGGGCTGTGTATTACTCCAGCTAACGCAGTATATGCAAACTACAGCAAAAGCTAGGTCAATCTAGTAGTGAGACTACTTTCAGCTCCACCACCTATGTGTGCTGCAGGATATTGGAAAGGTCTCTTCATCTCCCATCCCTTCACTGTCCTTTCAAACCCTTCTGCTGTCTTCTGTCTTTGGACTGTGAAAGAATTGAATCTTTCACTTCCTCCCTGCACAGATGAACCTGTAAAGTTAGAGTTCCCAACAAGCTTGTTTGGATGGAACACTTTGCCTCTCACGCACCACCTTCACCTTCCAACAGCTGCCTACAGGAAAATAACTGAAGTCAAACTGACACCAAAAGTCAAAATAGACCATGATTCTACCTACAGCATAATGCAGGTATTGTTGCTCATGGCAAATGCTTTTGTTTTACAAAGACATTCAAAATTTTTGCGACTCCTGAGCCTGGCTGAGCATCTTCTGCCAGGAATTCTTGGCCTCACCACTCTTTCAGAAATGTTCTTTAGGGGAACAAAGAATAAAGCATTCCCATCCAATAATTTTCCCGCATTATCAACCGGATTACCAGAAATCCATCTTTTTCTTTTTAATAGCCTTCCACTTTCAAAGCTGAGGAACCTTGCAGCAAATGAATGGTTTTGGCTACAGGTCCTGCACAGGTATATAAACCCCAGATAAGCTGAAACTTTTTTTTTTTTTTTTTTTTTTCCCTTCAGGCAACGTTGTTATGTCCACTTTCTAATCTTTAATTGGATGTCAGAGTTAGCACATTGATAACTTGGCTCACTATCCATTTATTTCTGTTTTGACTGCTGATAAAGTAATTACACCATTTGACATAGGGAAAGACACGTTGAGGAAGTTGGAGTAATTTGATGCTAAAACACATTGTACATTAAGATGTGTCATGTTGATTGTTACAAGGACATACTTACCGTGGTCCAACCGACCTGCTGACCCAGGTCTGTAAAATACAGTGTAATGATAGAGGAAACTGCAAGGCTTTGAATGTTAATGGAATCCTTCAAATAGGGCCCATCTGTAATGACAAAAAGGAAGGAGGAGATGGTATGAACAACAGGCATCTGCTTAGAGGTTCAGCATAGCATCTAGACTGCCCTGCTAATGGTCAAGGTATAGACCCAACTTGTATTCTGATTTATTTTGGTGACTTGGTACTTATTGTCCAGGTCAGCAACTTAGAGAATTTCTATGAGAGTTATTCTCCTCTCATTTTAACAAAAGCTTTAGGCTGACATGACACTGAGCAGCAATGCATAGCAATTGTTATGATGCTACCTCTGTTAATCTAGACCATTAGAGACGTGCCATGCAATCACACAGACAATTTCCTAGAGCACATTTTATTCTGTCTTGCAAGACTAATGGGAAAGTCGATGTTATGCAGTGTCTCAATCACTGATATCTTTTGCTGAAGCATTTGTATTCTCAGGCTATTTTACAATAGGTGGCACCATCATGATGAACACAACTTCTTGGACAAAGGCTCACAGACCAAGATTTCTTTGTAAGCCATCTGGCCTAAGCAGACCAGGTATATCTGAGCATTACAATACTTTTCACAGTATTTTGAGGCATTTGCTTCCAGTCTTGATAGACCCAGAGTGTACAGGTAGTGACATAAAATGGCAATATCTGGTTATCTTTTTTTTATAGAGGCAGTGAGCTGGCTATTAGGAAACCCCAACAGCCACTTGCATGGGGTGTTGCCATGGCTGCAACACTTCCTTTCTGTTTTTCACTTTATGTATTGCGTCTCCCTTTCAATATATGTTTGTTGACTGTTTAAGTCACTGAGAGTGCTAAATTCCACCAAGTGCTGAGCCCTCCTTTTCTAGGGCTCTGCAATGCTACATGTCCACAGAACAAATGCCATACAGCCCATGGCAGCTTCATCTCCCACTGCCATGTCCACCAAGAACAGATGTACTGGCACAAAAAAAAAGAAGCTGCTTCCTGAAGCCAGTTGCATCTTCTCATGAGGCTGTGAGCACGTATTAAAGTAGATAATGCAGCAAGTGAGGGAAGTGAGTGAATGGTTTTAAAACTGCCTTGTCTCAAGTACAGTCATATGTGGTTATGAAAACCATTAGATTCCTTTATTAGTGAGAAAGCTAATCATTAATATCAATTAATGAAAAAGTGCTAACAGTTCACCCAATAACATGTATAGAGAAAGCAATAGTGTTAGGAGAAGAACTTGCCAGAGGATTAGTAATACATTAGGTGGCTGTATTCAACCATATGAATACTTACTGCGTTCTAGTTGCAGGCCAACACGGGAAGGGTACCACTGGGGACCTGTTCAAATCACAAAGCATGACTGTTAATTTCATGGTGGAGGATCTAGATTTCTCTTTCTTTTAATATTCTTTTTAGCTGATAGCTACAATTGTGAAATTAAAAAAAAAAAAAAATCCTCTCATGGTCTCAGCTATACAAGCAGAATACAAGAGAGCTAGGAGGAGCACACAATAGACACATTAAAGCAGAAATCCCTTCTTCCCACTCGAGTGTTGAAAGCACACATCTCAATCCTGAATGCTCCATCAGCACATGAAAAATGGGCGTGTGCATGCACCACTGGAAACTATAGAGAGGACCCTGTTTATTATTATATTTGCCAAAACTCCGTACTAAATGTGTCAGTCTTGCCTCTCCCTCCAAAATTATGCTTTTTATACAGTTTTGTCCAAAGGGGTTAGTTTTTCCCAATTAGGAGTATCAAACCTTACTAGGGATGTGCAGCTAGCACTAGTTCTTAATCACAGCTTAATCAGGCAAATAGAGATAAAAAAGCAGAGACACCCGGGTAGCTAATACTGGGTTACATATGACTTCCATGATCTCCATCAACTTAAGGGTAATCCTTAGAAGCAGGTTTTTAAATGGTGTAGTTTAAAGGTTGCTCCTAAATGCATAACAGCAGTTAGCAGTTGTTATTAGGTGCCCTTTGATGATTTGGGACAGATCTCTGTCAGTTTGTTCAAACAGCTACAGGTCTCCAGTTGCATTTGTTTTCTCTTGGTGTCAGGGCAAGTGGGTGATTGCCACAGAAAGACTGCAGAAGGGATCGTGGCTGTTCAAATTATTAACTTGTTCAGTTCTTTGTAATGACTGTATGCAGAAGGCTGTGCCCCTACAGCTGTGCTAGCTGAATGGACAATATAAGCACTCCTCCTTCGAATCACAAAGACACATAATTTGTAACTTCACTTAAGCCCCACATACACTTCTGTTTGATGTTGAAGGCTTTTATGGATGACCTGAGGCAGCCTGGGGAGACCTTACACAGCCCTTGGTGTTGACTGAGATTTGGGGGCAGCGAAGTCTGACAGGCAAAAGCAAGGGAACAGCTGCACTATCACCACCTCCAGCCATTTCCAGTGCATTTGTCTTTATTTCCTTTGACATACCTTAGGACAGTGGGTAGCCTGAAAGATTTGATTTGTATTTACAATTCAACATTTGGGTGAAAATGGTCAAATATAGCCATAGTTTTCTTTAGATCTATGTTACAATTGTTAGTATTCTTGCATTTAAGATACCAGTATTCCCATAACTTAGACAAATGGAAAACAATTTGTCTTAGTTTGGACAGAAATAGAGTTAATATTCCTTTTCAGGGACTAGATGAGTGCTGTGTTTTGGATTTAGCTTTGGGTTTGGTATGGGAAGAATGCTGATAGCACACTGATGTTTTCAGCTGCTACCGAGACTTCAAGGACTCTCCGACTCCCCATGTCCTGCCCGTGCGCCAGGGCACAGGGAGCAGGGAGGGAGCACGGCCACAGCACCTGACCCAAACTGGCCAGTGAAATATTCCATATCATGGCACGTCATGCTCGCTATATAAAGGAGGGGTGGTTGGGAAGGAGCTCTCTCTCGCTTCTGGGATTGCGACTGTGGGATCTTGGTATCTCGGGGTCGCTGGCCGGGAACGGGCTGGGGATTGGTCAGCGGGTGGGGAGCAATTACGCTGTACATTGCCTGTTTATATATTTCTTTTTGTTTTCCCCCCATCATCGTTATTGTTTTCGGTTTATTGCCATTATTAAACTGTTCCTATCTCAGCCTGTGAGTCTCCCTTCACCCCTCTAATCCCCTCCGCCATTCCCAGGTGGGGAGGGGGAAGGGAGGGTGATTAGCTGCGGGGGTTGGTTGCCGATCAGGCCCAAACCACAACACAATTCCTCACAATGACTGCGATCAAATGTGGGAACATTTTCCCTGAGAAGCTGTGGGATCTATTTCCCTGGAGATAGTCAGGCCTCAGCTGGGGAAGACCCTGAGCAGTCTTTTAGGACTTGAAATTTGGCCCTGCTCTGAGCAGGAGCCTGGACCAGGTGAGCTCTGGAGATTGCTTCTACCTCAACTGTATTTCAGGATGATCAGGAGAGCTTGTTTACCCCACTGTCTGCCAGCTGGAGGGGAAGGGGAGCTGTACACAGCGTGCACTGCACCCACTGTGCCGTGGCAGCCAGCACACTCTCATTTTAAAAGCACTTGGTCTGAGTTTTGTAGGCAAGAATAGGCATTAGATGAACCCATGAACCAGGGCTAATAGCAGGAGGTGAGACATCCATCAGGCAAATCACAAACATTTTTTTCAAGGTACCACAACAATCCATGGCTATTAAAGATAACAGAAGGAAGATAGAGAAAGAGCAGCTGTCTGACTTGTCAAGGAAGATATGATTTGCTCCAGGACAGCCGATATCAATAGTTATTTGGGAGCCTGAAATGCAATGTACTTGTGTTAAATTGGAATCTTCCCCCTAACCCCCCCAACCCTTATATTACAGTATGTTTCAATAAAAGCCAATTTACCTGATCCTGTGGCAATGCACTTTTAGGTACGGCTCATAATCTTCACAAGGGCAAACAGAGGTTGTGCATTTAAGCATGTCATCCCACATTTCCAGTCCTTTAGCCTCAGTACACCATTATGTTCAAACATACTCAAAGATTTAGACAGGTGGAAGTGTGCCTTTGCGGCTGCTTGTCTGCAATGACCTTGTTATCACACCACTGTGTTCTAGACCATCCTTGGGGTGCCATGTGTACTTTTATGGAGAGACCTGGAACTGGCTGTTGGGATGTTCCTTCACAGCTCTTACTATTGCTGGGGGGCCACTAGCCAATGTCAAGTGGAAATACTATGCAAATTGAATGGGGGGCAAAGTCCAAACACATCTCTATTTGTATGTTGGTTTTAGTCAGAACATGAAAGTTTCCTGCTTTCAATCTTTACTGTCAGCAGACTATAGCAAGGATGTTTCCCAGCCTTAGCTGCCTGGGGTCCTGAAAAAAAAACAGCATTGCTTTCTGGAGAGAAGCATGATCCCACTTAGTTCCTCAGGAGGTCCCAGAGGTCTGGCTGGTCTGATCTCTCAGCCTGATGAGACTCATTTCAGAGAGAGGAAACCCCACACATTCCTAGGCATCAGAGATTTGCCTGGTCACCACTTGGTAGCGGTTGGCCAAGGGGACCCTGGCCCCACTTGACACCCTTTACTTGCCTTCTTCCTGTGACTGTGTTTTCCATGGGGATCCTCCAGAGCTCTCACTAGGACAGCTCTGGATTTCTATTTGGCAATGCAGGAAGCCATTCCAATCCAGCCTGGTTCTGGCAAAAACACATTCATGACATTCCTATGGAGAAGAGCTCTCCTTTCTTTTCACAGTGAAAAGAAGCCAAATGCAGTGACTAATTTTTTTATTAATTAACTCTTGCTACTATCTGTCAGAATCAGGTGTTGATGGCTCTCTTGGATACCTATAGAGAGTATTATCTGGTAGATTAGCTTTACCTGCCATCAGCAGGAATTCCGAAGTGCATGTGGAGAGCACAGGCTCCAAGACAGCAGTCAAGCTATCACTAAAGACAGAGACACAGCTGCAGCACTCAGGCCTCTCCGCACTCCCACACCTGGCAAAGCTCCTCTTGCTTCCAGTCTAAAGCTGGAGGGTTTTTCCAGGGTTGTTTTTTGTTTTGGTTTGTTTTTTTCCAGTAAGTTTTACTTCCCAGTTTATTCTTATTAACACTTTCCACTGATGCCACCTGCAGAGATGAATGGCAAACCAAGAGCATGGGTGATGAAGTTTATCTTGTAACTGGTGTTGAATCTAAAATCAGGCATGAATTATTATTTACTTTCTGACATTGTGATGGTGCATCAGAGCTCAGCCACATGGTACTCTGTAGGTCACAGTCCCTCTATATTCCTTGTGCTCTGCAGAGCTGTTCAGCTCCCTTATGCAGGGTTATGGTTTTGGCTATGCATGTCATAATTGGAACAAAGTTGTAAAAATATCATTTCAGTCCATTTATATCCCAGACAGGTTTTGACTCGAAAAAGCAGATACAGACTGACCAGAAAATAAGAACGGCCATCGTGATTCAAACCACAGGTCTGTTTAGCCAGTGTTATATCCTCTGTATTTAGCCAATATTGTGGTTCCTCATCACATTTCTTAGATTTCTAGCATTTGTGTAGAACAGCTTTGGTTCCTTTCTTTGCAGCATGTTTGGACAGCTACTGAAATGTCTTCCTGCTTTTCCATCTCCTATTTGTTTATTTCTACCCTCCTGACTTATCCTTCTATTGAAGGATGTTTGTCTCAGTTTTTAATATGGTCACCCCTCAACTGCATGCACATAGGCACCTGAAAGCTTTGCCCATTCCTCAGCTGAAAGGTTATTCACAAACTCCTTGATTTTAAGTGACATCAACATCAATCTTCACTGAGCAACCTGATCTAGTGAAAGATGTCCCTGCCTGTGGCAGGGAGTGCTGCACTAGATGATCTTTGAACATCCCTTCCAACCTAAACTGTTCTACAATTTTATGATTCATTCTGTTATGAGCCAGACAATGTTCCTTCTATGTGTACAGGCTTCCTTTAGTCTGGAAGTGTAAGCAATTAATGATGAGTCTTAAGCCTTTTACCTTATTCCATCTTCTTGGTCAAGAATCCATTCCAAACTTTGTGAAAAAAAAATCCATAGGTTTACTTAAAACCCAGTAAAATATTTTAATGCTATTACCTTTAAAGCATCATAATTTTTCAACACAGGATTGTATTTTCTTGGAAAGTGAATCAATGTTTCCTTTTAATAATCTCTTTTAAAAAATGGACATGAGGAAAAATATTTGATTGTGTATGGGTTATTTGTCGTACTTGCCAGTTTTTGAAACAAAAATTAAAACATAAGCAAAGTGACAGGATATATAAAAACTGACAGCCATCTTTAATTTGACCGTTCCCAGCTATGAAATCGCATATTAATACTGTAT